CTGTCCCTGTACCCCTGTCCTGCACCCCGGCACCTCCCACCGTCCCCCTGTCCCCGTCCCCACTGTCCCCGTATCCCCTGTACCCCCATCCTTCTCCCCTGGGACCCCTCCCAATGTCCCTGTACTCCCACCCTGCGGCCCGAAAGATTCGCCCCGTACCCCGTAGCAGGCGTGCAGCACATGGAGCCCCTGGTGTGCACCCATCCTTGTGGGGACCCCCCAGTCCCTGCCTGCCAGCAATGGGGAAACTGCTCCATCTGCTGTGACACAGGAATATGCTCCAAGAGCTTCTTCAGGAAGCTGCCCCCTGAACTGCCCTTGCCTGTGGCCCATAACATACAAAAATGGTTTCAAAGCCCAAAATGACCTCATGCCTGAGGGGCATTGGGCTGTAACCCCAGCTCCTGCATCCCAGTTCTCCCAGCTGCCTGCCTGGCTGCCCGTGCTGTGACATGGGCACCCCTGTGCTGTGGCAACCCTCAGACTGGAGCAGCCAGTGCTGGCCCTTCCCTGCAGGTCAGAAAAACAGTCCTGAAGAGCGTGTTCTTCCACAGAGCCCCGTAAGCAGCTTCCCAGGGCAGCCCTGCACGACAGGATATTGATGACAGACTGGTCTCACCTCCTTTTGTGCTCCTGTGCTCAGACACACCTAACACTGATTTCCTTGTATATTAAACACCTGGACTTTCTTGGTTTGGGAGAAGTGTACAAATTGCTTCTGTGTCCCAGGTTTGGCAGCACAGGAAATCCCCCGGTCCATGGTTCACCTCGGCTTGGAGGCAACTCATCCCCAAACAGGTGGTGAAGCTTCTCTCCTGACAAACCTGTTTCCCAGGCACTGCCCATCCTGCTGAGTGCCTGCCAGTGGCGCTTGTGGTGAGAAACCATTAGACAAGATCCAAAAGAGAGGAAAAACGAAGGGAAGAAAAAGGGAAAAGGAACAGGTGGGGACTAACTGCGGCGATGCCAGCTGGCGGGCACGGTGGTTAGAGGATGAGGTGAACCACAAAAGTTCTCCTTTTTCCAGCTCACACTCGGAGAGACACACAGGGCTACGCTTGAGGCGTATTTTCCTGTAAGAAGGGAGGGCTCCTGGCCCTTCCCAGGGAAGCAGCACAGCCACAGAGAGACACTCCTAAGGGTTTTCACCTGTTCCTTTGAGGCAGACAAGTGCAGCCAAGGCTACGACAGGGAAACCCAGGGAAATCCCTTCCACTGACTCAGACAGGAGAAAAAGGCTTTCCTGCTATTAAAAAAAGGAAAGTGTTGGTGAACATCCACCCACCCCAGCTCCAGCTCAGGATCAAGAAGTCAGGAGCCAGCACTGCAATGCTGGCGTGGGATGGTGTTGAAGCACTGGGACCAGCACAGCTGAATCCCACTGGCCTCTGGTGCCCTATGGGCAAGGAGCAATTCCATTCTCACCCAGCACCAAGGCCTGATGCCAGGGAGCAGCCTCAGCTCAAAACCTTTCCAACCCCACAAACTGTGCCCAGCCACACGTTAAGCCCTAAAAACATTTATTATTTTGAAATTAAACACGTCCATGGGTTGCTTTTGATGGCTCCATCCCTGCTGCAATTTGGGAGTGCAGCCCTCCCTCTGCTCCCCCCCCCCCCCCC